CCTTTTCCATACCATTATTCCTCTCTATAAATACGCAGCCATAGCGAGAGATAGTAAGCAATATATTACAGTTCAACTCGATGACTGTTCCGAAGTAATCGAAAACCAAATTCGAATTTGCTTCAATCACTTTCCCAAGACTATATCACAAGATTTACCCTGTGAAGTTTCAATCTTAATGGACTCCAAGGTAATGCCTAATTGCGAAAAAGTCGTATTAGGAATCGAAGACTACAATGTTCAAAAGTTAGCTGACAACAAATGGCTCTTGACAGTTTCTGATCAACTACCCGTTACTACAACATGTCCAGGCAAAAACTCAGAAACTGAAATCATACTAGAAAATTCACTTCTCACACTTGAACCCAAGTGTAGTGCATTTATTGGTACCACACGTGTATATGCAAGTTTTAATGCAAATGAAACTATAGACCTCCAGCTATACATTCCTGAAATCACTTATGATTGTTGTGAACATCTACCAAATAAAGATGATTTGCCAATTTTGAAGCCAATCAAGATCAATCATCTCAATCTCGATGAACTGAACATAGCCCAAGAGAAACTTCATGAATACGACCAGAACCTTAACCATATGATCAACGAATCATTCAGTCACAGACATTTACGTATATTTGTATGGTACTCATCATTCTTCTTGTCCTATGGTTTCTTTTCAAATGTTGTTGTAAAAGAAAACTTCTGGGATACTACAATAGCCGATCCAACTCAGATGACGGAAACCAACCCGGAAGATGCTGTCCACAAATATTCAGCTATTGCAATGTAAGATCGAATGTTTCGAGAAGGCCATCGATTCATTTATCTACCTTCAACGATTCATCAGAAGAAATCGTTTTCCAGCAGAATCCAACAGCCCCTATCGCATCTTCATCCAGAAGAAATCCGAAGAGGATTTAGCCAAGGAAGATTTTTCTATTTTATTGTATTCATGTTTTTATTTACTCACCCTGTATTGATATATTGTATTTTTCATAATCTTCCATCTTCAAAGTTATTTCAATATTAATAATTCTTAATTTTTTCTCAATCATTCATTGAGTTTTCAGATTAAGAAAAAATCTTAATGGGGGAGGTGTTATATCCTGACATCCCATTTGAACTTATAAAATAATTCACTGCTTGATATAATCATATGAGATTAATCTGCCCACGCGATTCTAGAGAAGTCGCGAGGTGCATTTTCAGCATTTTCTGAAGATAACAGTTTTGAATGCATATTCACGACTGGGAATCAACAGACTAGAATGAGCTTTCGATTCGAACACATCAAAATTAAGAAACATCACTCAAAATCAAAGTCTCGATCAAAGATACATTTCAGCTCGAAATAAAGTGTATTTTTTAAAAACTAACGAGTATCTCCCAAGTTATAAAATTAATTTTTTTTTCTGTGTTTGTCGTATTGTTAATTTGAATATACTTACTAGGTAGTATATTGGGTAAATAAGGGTATATGACCACTGATGGCAAGAAAGTTTTACTGGTATAACAGTAAATTGTTATAGATTGGATAGGTGTAGGTTTCAATAGGGTTCGGGTTCCAGGGATGATTCAAGAAAGGATACACAAATAAGGACTTGTCTTGGAGTACTACCCCATTTGTTGTTTGATTCTGGAAACATTCAATCTCCTTGTTGGAAGCAATTTGATTATTTTTGTTTTCGTGTGTATATATGTATGTGGATTGTCTGACTCTTACAGGTTGGAGCTATCAGAAAAAAATATCTATTGTCTTACTGTAGTTAACATAATAATAATAATAGTCAGTTGCATATTAGAACACTGTCAATTCTATTACAGCAAATCAACCAGGAAATACATTCCGCTGCTACTAGCAGACTTTTGGATCGCAAGTTTTGTTTTTATAGTGACAGATATTGAAGATTGATTAATTTTTTTTGTATAGTGATTGAAATTGTTGAATGATCGAATGGCTACCTCAAAATCAGGATAGGGTTTTCAGGTTGACGAGAAGAGGAAGCCGAATATTTTGCGGTAGGTGAAAGTTGCTTTTTTGCTTAGAAATAGTTAAAGCATGTCTTCTCCTACCCCTACTAACAACACTTGCATAAACACTCCGGGTGGTGGAGCGCCTAACATAGTACCAGCACCACCTGTATTGAGAGTGCCGGCCATGTATTCATTAGGGATGATGGCAACTACCCTAGATAATTTCTCTGGGAAAGATGCGGCGAGATATTTTGAAAAGTTAGAATTAATTGCGTGCAAAATTAGATGGTTGGTCGGAGGATGAAACTCTCCAGTTATTCAAATTTAAGCTTATAGGTGAGGCATACAACTACTTCAAATCGGATACAGGGTTGGACTTGGCTAATTATTCAGCTCTGAAATCTAGGTTCTTGCAGAAATTCACTCCGTTCAGGTTACCTAGAGAGAGTCAATGGAATTTTAGCAGGTGTTTTCAGAGACATGATGAGGATGTGTCCTCAATTTATTACGGGAGGATTTAGGAGGGGCTACCGTGGATGAAGAGACAGGAATGAGGAAGAAAAATAGGGAATTGCTTTTGAATCTTCAAGGGGCTGCGTAAGGACCTAATAAAAGAGACGGGTATTCTATTGTTGCGTGAGCCTAATCTAGATCTAGAAAAGGCTGAGGAGCTAGTGAAGCTGCAAGAGACGACTTTCATGATGATACAAGGAAGGAGTGCGAGCATGAGGATTTCTATGGTAGATAATGAAGGTCTTTGTCATTCCTGTGGAAAATCTGGGCATTTTGCTAGAGAGTGTAGGAGTTCCAGAGGGACTAGGGGTTCACTGAATCCCAAGATGGGGAGGGCATGTTACTCGTGTGTGCAAGCAGGACATTTTGCAAGAGAATGTCGGAGAGTGCCATCAAGAAGTCAACATGATTGTTTTTTTGTGTCATCAAAGGGGGTATTGGGCAAAGGATTGTCCAAGGAATTATAGAAATACAGGGCGATTAGATTTTCGAGAGGTCAATAGGGAGTCTCGAGGTAGTACTGAGAGATCGCAATCTAGTAATGAGGGGAGCTGTTGGAGACAGGGGTCATAATTCACAACCTGAGACTCAGAGGGAGGTGAATCAGTCAACGAGTGCTATACCAAAGCAAAGACAACAATCTTCCTCTTTTTCAGATTCACGCCGAGACGATCAAGGTATTGATAATTTAAACTGTTGAGGCCGAAGCCCTACTGCCACGATGGAGGCCAGAGGCAAATGAAGAGGCAGAAAAATTTTGATAAATATAACGATGGAGTAGGGAAAATGCGTGTTATGCTAGTTCCTGAGGTAGCCTCAAGAAATATAAAAGACATTCCGCACATTATTCGAGTGCGAGTGAATGGAGTTTTGGGTAAATGTTTAGTTGATACCAGGGGCGGATCCAAAGGGGGGGGGGGCATGGGGCCATGGCTCCCCCCCTCGGGAACCTCATGGATATGTAAAAATGTAGGAATTTTGAATAAATGGAAATTTTCTTTATAGCTATCCACCCGCGACCCACGCTAAATTTATAATAATAATAATGGTGTTGCCCTTGGCTCTTTGAGTCTTGATGTACAGTCGGAAACGCACGGTCGAAAATCACGGTCAATCAGACGTGTTCGGACCAAGCACTGGCTGTCGGCAGTCTCGGCTGAGAGATGATCTAATACCGATACCGAGTACCGACCGACCCCATTGCAACATCAATAAGCGCATCGAACGATCGACCATTGCCTGCTCGTCGCGCGCTGTATTATACCTACAAGCTACAAGAGTGTATGCACGTTTCGAACTATCAAACGACACAACAGTAATTTACAGTAACAACACTGAAGTGCATTGATGTCTCCAACGATTCCGTACTGTGATTGTCACTTTAGGTATGAGAACCTTTGAATTATACGCTATAATAGGATAAGAAAAAATGAAAAGAAATATTGAGAAAAATTCGAAGTTGACGGATTTTTTCAAGCGATTGAAAAAAAATTAAGAGGATGGAAATATGGGAAATCTACCGGAACCAGCAGATTCAGATTGACTCTACTCCATCAACATCGACAGATTCATATTTTCCAACTGAAAATGCTTTAGAGACTTTCAATAATTCTAATAATTTAGCGATTCCTACTGATAATGTTCCATCCTCATCAGCGACTTCAGCAACTCCGTCAGATTCTAAAACCATAGATTATTACCAGAAGGTTTTCGATATTGGTTAAAGAATCTTCAGAAATAACTGAGTTTCAAAAATATAAATTTTCAAAAGAATCCTGGTACCCTCCTGGAAATTATCAGTTTCCATTCAGTGAACACAATAAAAATAATAAAATTGTCAAGAGGTATCTCCGTTTCAAGCACTTGAATACATATGAATGGGTTACATATTCGCATTTGGAAAGAGGATTATTTTGCAAGTACTGCGTTATCTTCAGCAAACCCAAGGATTCAAAACAATTGGAAGGGTTGACTTTGGAACCCATAATAAAATTCGCAAAATTACTTGGAAGCCAGGAATGTCTGGAGAATCATAATAAGAAAAAATATCATATAGAGACAGTTTTAGATGCTCAGAATTTTATAAAGTCTTTTGAAAACTCTCAAGCAGATGTGAGGAACCAAATCCACAAATCTAGGGCCTCTCAAGTGAGTGAGAATAGAAAAAGATTTAAACCTATCATAAATCCGATACTCTTCTTAGGAAATCAGAATATTGCCTTCAGAGGTCATCGGGATGATGGTGTCATAAACGTTGATGAGAATGTATCAGACACTAATGAAGGAAATTTTAGGGAACTACTAAAATTTCGGGTGGAGTCGGGGACGAAACATTGAGGGAACATTTGAGAACATCTTCCTCAAGAGCAACCTATGTTAGTAAGACAACACAAAATGATTCGATTTGCTGCATTGGAGAGGAAATTAGAGATGCAGTGATTAGACGCGTAAATGCTGCAGCATTTTATTGTATAATATTTGATGAAACAACAGATGTTTCTCATATTTCTCAAATGTCCATTGTTCTTCGATACGTCGACATCGACATGAAAGAAGCGAGAGAAGACTTCATTTCTTTTGTTGACTGCCATGAGGAGAATTTTTCGTTAGATGAAGATACCTTAGAACCGATTTTGAATGGAAAAGTTTTAGCTAGAACAGTATTGAACGTTTTAACAAAACTTGGACTCGATTTGAAAAAATTTATTGGTATATGTACAGATGGGTGCAGTGTGATGGTTTCAAAAAAATGCGGTGCGGTAGAAGAAATTAGGAGATGTATACCACAAGCCGTACCCTGTTCCTGCTATAACCACGCACTGAATTTGGCCGTATCAAAATCTTCTACTGTACACTCCGTTAGAAATTTGATAGGAACCGTAAAAGAAATATCTTTTTTTTCACAGCTTCCTCAAAACGACATTTTGTATTGAAACATATTACCAAAACGGAACTGAAGAGTGTTTGCGAAACAAGGTGGGTTGAACTTCACGACTCCATTCTTCAATTCAAGAATGAATTACCCAATATTCTCCAGGCATTGGATAACATATCTTTATGGAACGAGAGTGAATCTGCGAAGAAGGCAAGAAATTTCGCAACAGCTCTGAGGAATTGCGAATTTGTAATTACACTCTGTTGTTTGGCAAATATATTTTCAATAACACTGCCACTCAGTAATTTTCTCCAAACAAAAAGCTTGGACAAAAAACAAGCTAACGATGTTGTCAGTATCACTCTTCTGACGCTTCGAGATAAAAGGGATGATGCTTCTAAATACTATCTAAGTATTTCGAATGATGCCAAACAAAAATTAAAAGAGATCAATGTTGAATTTTCGATGCCAAGAATAACAGGGAGAATGGTTCATAGACCAAATCCTACAGTTTCCTCAGTGGATGACCATTATAGAATAACTGTTTTCATCCCACTGCTCGATAGCATCATCCTTGATCTGAAAGATAGACTATCAGAAAATAAATCAAATCTGTACAACCATGTGTACCATCAGTTACCAAAAACAAAACAGATGAGGAAATATATCAAGGTATAAGACAAATACTTGAACAGTTTCCGACCATTTTTGAGGAGAATGATGAAATGTCCTTCCAGAAGATAGTTTCAGAAATGTTTATATGGAGGAAAATGTGGGATGCTGAGCAAAATATACCAGACAATGGTATAACGGCTCTGAAGGAATGTAACAAACATTTGTTTCCTAATATAAGCATTTTTCTGGAACTATTATGTTGCCTGCCAGTGAGTGTTGCATCTTCTGAAAGGAGTTTTTCAACACTCAGAAGGCTGAAGGACTGGATAAGATCCAGAATGGTTCAAGACAGGTTGAATGGATTGGCATTAATGCATATACACAGGGGCATCTGCAGCAGTCTGAATGTTGATGATATCATCCAAAGATATGCTAGTCAGAAGAATAGAAGACTGGAATTTGTTATTTAGTTTTTAAAATTTGATTATCCTTATTTTTGCCTGTTTCATTTGTTTTGTTTTTGAAGAGGAATATTTTTATTTACTTTCGTACCAAAGTTTTTCAAGAGAAATATTTTTTTATTTACTTTATTCATCTAATATGATTCATTACAGAAATCAACATATATATTGATGGAATAAATCCAATAGTTTGATTTTATTTTTCTTACACCAGTAATTCCGATACTTGATAGGAAACTAAAGATTTCATGTTTACTAGAATCAATTTTTTTAATGAAAAAGCATGTGTCTCAGAAGGTAACCATATAATTTCTCTTCCGTGCTAACCTTATTGAGCCGTGACTGTCTATGCCCCCCCACCTTAAACATCGTCTGGATCCGCCCCTGGTTGATACAGGGGCAACGGTGACACTCATCGAAAGTAAAATGGTTCCTAGGAATCAAATAAACTCTATGGGAGCGAATAAATATCAGCTAACTAGCGTTACTGGTCATTATTTACGCACTTGGGGTACTGCTGATATTTTAATAGGACCTGTAGAGAGTAATCAAGGTACGACATGGACTGCTATTGTATGCGAGGATGAAATATTGGGAACAGTTCAGGTACTATTAGGAAGAGATTTTCTGTACGCCAATCAGGCATCAATAAACTATCTGCAAGTACCATCTATCACTATTTGGGGAAGGTGCATTCCCTTCATATATGAGGAAGAAATTGATGTAAATATGTATAACCGATGTCATGAAATAGGACAAATAGGTAATGAAGAGACTGAACCAAAAGAATTAAAGTCGATGGAATCAGAAGAAGTTTCGTACCACATAGACCAAAAAGGGAGAATATCCAAAAGCGAGTTGATTATCGGAGAGAGGTCAAAAAATCTCAGGAACTCGAAGATTCTGAGGAATCTGAAGAATGGATAGAAGAGTTTTATAAAGGCCGAGTTACTAAAGCGCCTTCAGAAAATGATATAAACGTAGAAAATATTGAAGAAAATGAAAATATTCCTCTAAATACTTGGGAAACAGACATAATGTTAGAAAATGATGTCACTATTCCAGCTCGCACAGAAGCGATGGTGTACGCAAAACTCAAGGTTAACTTGAAAGGAAACTCAATAGTATGCGAGCCAATAGAATTAGGGAATGGATATGTTCATACAGCTAGCTGCTTGTTAGAAAATTCCTCGAAAATTTGGGTACGAGTTCTCAATGTATCCTGTAAGGAAATTAGACTTGTGAAAAACCAGAAATTCGCGAAGGCTATTACCTGCGATATAGAAGAGAGAAGAGACGTGGAAACTGAGTATATGATTGGACAATTGAACAAAACAAATATCGAAGGGAACTTAGAAGGATTCAATCTTGAACACCTCGATGAAAAACACAGGAGAAACTTGGAGGAATACTTCGAAATTATCAGGATTTGTTCATGGAAAAAGAGGATAACTTGACAAGTACTACAAAGGTGGAACATAGTATAACCTTAGAGCCCGGAGCACAACCAATATGTAAAGCACCCTATAGAATTCCGTATCAACAGCGAGAAGTTCTACAAAAAAAAATCGATAGATTGATGAACGCAGGTATCATCCGTTCATCATCTAGCCCGTGGTCAGCTCCAGTTGTACTTGTCACAAAAAACTACCAAATGGAGAAGATAAGGTGAGAATGTGCATCGATTATCGAGGATTGAATACTGTGACTAAAAAGGAATATTATCCCCTGCCTAATATTTCGGATTCAATTCAAGGTTACAGATCAGGAAGCGAAGCATTGTTTTCGGTTATCGATGTTGCAGAAGCGTACTATCAGATAGATATGGAAGATAAGGATATCCCATTAACCGGCTTCAGCACGTTTTAAGGCCACTACGAGTATACTAAAATGCCATTTGGCTTAGTCAATGCACCGTCAACATTCCAGCGATTTATGAACATCACATTAGCCGGCCTCACAGGAGAACTTTGCATGGTTTATCTAGATGATATCATTATTTTTAATTCCGAGGGAAAAGAGGAGCATATTGAGAGGTTAAAAAAAGTTTTCGCGAGGTTGAGAAAAGCAAATGGCAAATTAAAGGCTAAAAAGTGTAGTTTCCTACTCAAAAAGGTAAAATATTTAGGGCATATGATAACACAAGATGGAGTGCTTCCAGATCCTGATCCTAAATCGATTCAATACATAAATTTCCTATACCGAAAACCATTCGAGGTGTACGATCGTTCCTAGGATTGATAAACTGGTATCGAAGATTTATACCGAATGCATCTGAACTTATTACACCACTGACGAATTTGACTCGAAAAGAAACGAAATTCGAAATTACATCTGAAGTACTCGACTCGATAGAAAAGTTGAAGGAAACTTCGACATCGGGTATGATTTTGATTTTTCCTGATTTCAAACAACCATTTATACTAGCTGCAGACGCGTCTGGGTTGAGACTAGGAGCTGTACTCAGTCAAATCAGAGACGGATATGAACGACCTGTGGCATATGCTAGCCGAAATTTCAAAAAGGCAGAATTAAATCATTCTACTACAGAGAAGGAACTCTTGGGAGTGGTGTTTGGAATTCAGACTTTAAGGTGTTATTCATATGGAAAGAAATTTACTGTGATCTCTGATCACTGGCTATTGAAATGGTTATTGTCATTGAAAGATCCAGGGTCGCGACTGACAAGGTGGGCTCTGACACTGGCGGACTATGATTTTGAGGTGATTCATAGAAAAGGAAAATTACACGGGAACGCTGACGCGCTTAGTCGCATGTTTTGTAAAGAAGATCACTACATTGATTTGGAATATGAAGATTATTTAGAGTATCAGAAGATTCATCAGATACCTCGAATGAAAAAGTTGAAGATGAAACAGGGAGACATATTTTCAGCGCCAGAAGAGTGGGCACTAGCACATAGTGTGTCACAGGACTTAGCTATTGGTAAAGGTATAGCATTGCAATTCCGAAATATATATGGTAGTGTAGAAAAATTGAGACAACAACAAAAAAATGTTGGAGAAGTTGCGGAATTGAATTTACCCGAAAGAAATATTTATTATTTAAACAATAGAGAAAAAAAACCCAAAGTCGTCTCCACAATTTTTAATGTATAATCAGGCAGTCAATCCTGCTTCATTAAGGTTGATACATGTTTCGGCCATTCAATAGGCCATCTTTAGTCAAAAGAATATAACAATGTGCATCTAAAATAGAAAACCAAACATGATTTTATATATAAGAAAAATTGAAAATGGAAAAGACAGCAGTTGTAAATTCAAATTGAATTGATTAACAAATTTCAGTTAGATCAAAGAGCAACAGTGATTTTTATGAGTATACAATGATAATTGATCAATAATTGAGAATAAAAGTGAGAAACAAAATTTTTATCAAATCAAAATTCTGAAAAACAAAATGGAGAACCATAGATAAGAAGGTTGTACTCACGTGGAAATACTTCAATGCATCATGAAGGCGAAAACATTTTTTTATTGCTTAATCATCATTTATTATTTGTATTAATTAAAATTGGAGTGATGTATGAGGAATTGGGAGGAAGGCAAAAAGCCCAATCCCCCAAGAGGAAAGTTAAATACTTCATGGGACGCTGAAGCTCTGCGTAACTTGATCATTATTGAAACAATGAAAGGCAAAAGCGCTGTCGAAAGTGAAAATAGAACCTGTTGAAGAGTAAAGGAAAGAAGAAAACTGTAAAGTGATTACTCAAAGGAAACCTGTAATGTCAAGTAAGTTGTAAGTCAATTGTGAGACAGCAGACAGATGGCGTGCTGTGTCTGAAAACTTCAATTTTTTTTTCTTTTGGGACGCTGAAGCTCTGCGTAACTTGATCATTATTGAAACAATGGAAGGCAAAAGCGCTGTCGAAAGTGAAAATAGAACCTGTTGAAGAGTAGAGGAAAGAAGAAAACTGTAAAGTGATTACTCAAAGGAAACCTGTAATGTGAAGTAAGTTGTAAGTGAATTGTGAGACAGCAGACAGATGGCGTGCTGTGTCTGAAAACTTCAATTTTTTTTTTTTTGAATGTGTAGAAAATGGGGAGAAATACTGAAAAGATTGTAATAATCAAGACTTCGTCAGATCTGAAATTGAAGACGGAAAGGGATATGGAGCGAATTATCGATTGGTTCAATCACAAAGTATTAACAGTAAATTTTGAGAAAACAATTTTTTTACCTTCTGCAAGTTATAAATCCACACTGTCAAACTTCCAGACTCTGGACATCCAAAGCCAGAATGAAATTATCAAAATAAAGAGAGCAAATAGTGTTAAATACCTTGGAGTTACCATAGACCCAAATCTCAAATGGGATAAACATATTAGTAATGTAACTAATACATTGAGAACAATATTGTTCAAATTCAAACAGTTATATAAACTTATAAATATTAGATATTTGAGAGTTGTATATTTTGGTCTCGTCGAATCCCGTTTACAGTACGCAATACTTAGCTGGGGCGGCACATATTATACACATATGCAGAAACTAGATATACTACAAAAGAAAATTCTAAAAGTAATGCTTGGAAAACCAATGACCTACTCCTCAAAATGTACATTCACTGATGCAAAAATAATGAATTTGAGAAAATTATACATGTTCAGTATGATCATTTATTTGTATAAAAACAAATATACATTACAAAGAATCAATCATCCCTATCTAACTAGAACAAAATCGAAACACTATGTGACAACAAATGCAGCCGAAAAGTCTATAGGTCAGCAAAATTTTCAATACTTAGCTAACAGGATTTTCAACTATTTACCAGAAACTTATAAAATGTATATTCTTGAAATCAATTCAATCGAATATATCAAGAAGAAATTTAAAGGATACTTACTGGAGCTAGACATTGACATTGTAGCTAGTATCATAGAAATTTAGGAACGTACATAATATATAATTATGGCTCAGGGCATATGCTAGTAGACTCTTTTTTTTTTCATACATCCCATGACAACCTACTGAGGTTTTATGGG